CCTTGGCTCTGCCTGGACATTCATTGCTCGTCCTTCTCCAGAACTCTTGGTCAGCTTTGGATTGGCGACGATGCATGCATGCATGGGCCGAAGGAAGGAAGCTCGAAAGAAGTTTCAGAGCCTCCCGACGCCTCAGACAGGCGTCCAAGGTCGTAGCACCTGTATAAAATTTAAACTGAATAATGGAATAAAAGAAATGAAAACAGGTCTCAGACCTGGCCAATCAAAAGATTCTTGCCATGGCCAAGGCCTGTTTCGAAATTGCTCCGTACAGAGTACAAGAGTAACCTACGAAGCTGCCGCACGACTCGGTGCAAATGCTTGGTAACCAACGGAAAATCAACACAAGACCATGGCGTCTCGTCCAGCCGCATCCCACGTTGAACACGTTTTCTCTCAGCTGCGTCAATCTTCTCTCCCACAGGCCACTGACGCGGCCAACTTTGGAACATAGCATAGGCGACTTACTCCGTATTGTACCCGGCTATCTCGTGCGGGGGGAAAGAGGCTCGGCGAGGCTCGGAGGAGATGCATGCGTGTCTTGCGTAGCATCTGGCGACGGAACCGAGAGCCAAGAGCACTGGCAACGGAGAAATGGAGCTCACGCAACCACTTGTGCTTACTCCGTACAGCTGGCTATCGATAGTGGTTCCACGATAACGTGCATCACGCGAGCAGACGCCGCATATGCCAACGACGCGATACCACCATCAGATGACGGAGCCACGACTGCCCCGGGGTGCAAAAACAGCCGCCCAGGACGAGGAAACATTGAAATGAGGAGGCGTGGTCATGGTGTGTCGTGGTTGGGTCACGGAGTTGGTTGCCAGTAACAACAACACGTGCTGGTGCGATGCGTGATGCGGAATGTCATACACTGGGATGATGTACACAAGAACACCTAGGCACTTGATGCAAGAGAGTCTTTAAGGAATCGCTCTCCACCCAGCATAAAGAACGCTGACTTTTCGGTGTTGCCGTACTACTCCATGTCGGAACATGTAGTCATGGTCATGAATACGAAATAGACGTATTGGTGCAATCGAGTCTCCATGTCTGCGCTCAACGCCGCTCAGTGGGGTTACCCCGGCAAGAGGCGTGCTGGACACCGGAGAGCCAGGGCCACCCACCAAGGAAGGGGCCACCTGAGGCCAAACGGCCCTTGCTGAGGCGCAAAACATTTTTCCAATTTGTTTTCTCGGCAAAGCGACCCTCAGGCATGCTGCCCTCGACTCTCATAGTACTACCACCAGATGAGATGGATGGTCGCGTCACACAACCTTCAAACCATCCAAGTGCTCCGTCGACTCCCCGCGAGCTGAAGCATCCTTCGCTCTCCGCCCACCGACTCCTACCGAATTTGAATGCCTTCCCAAATATTGTCTTATTTTAATAAGCCTTGCGGATAGCCTTGCATCACTCACGCATCGCCCTAACTCGCCGAGTTCGATTTTACTGCCGACAAGGCCGCAACCGGTTTTGCGCCGCCCATCTCCCTGCCGCATGACTGCGAGACTGCCATCGCCATTTCAACATGGCCTTCAACTTCAACTGGTCGCCGCTTACTGCGGACGCTGAATTCTACCGTCGAGCCCGTGATTTGCTCACAAAGGCCTTGAACAAATCACCCAAGCCGCCCATTATCGTCGATGATATCCTCGTGAGCGAGTTCAACTTGGGCACTGTGCCACCCGACCTGGAGATTCTCGAGATTGGCGACCTCGCCGAAGACCGATTTCGCGGCATATTTAAAATGTGCTATTCCGGCGATGCTTTCCTGACTTTGAAGACACGGGTTCAAGTACGTCGAATCAGTTTGTTTCGCGCCGTTTGACTCCATCGTTATTTTTTTTTTTTCGATGCCTCCGAGAATGCCCGGCTGCTGCCTTCCGTTCGTCCACGCAGGGGCCATGCATCATCGTGACAAAATAATTGCAAAAGCGCCGACATCTACTGATTGCTCTTACTGCAATAAAAGGGCTGTTTTGTTTACCAGTGTAAACCGTCTTTGTCCCCCTGATTCACATCGTTTCGTGTGAGCCCCAAGCTCCTCCAAGTCTTTGGCCGCGCCAGACAAAGCTGTCACAGCATCTTCTCCGCAAGGGTTTCTGCATCCAGATTTGCAGCACACTCTTTCCTCTCACAGCAAACATCGCGCTTGGACGTCGCCGCAGCGTCTTCGAGACGTGTGCACGACTATCCCCCAATCGAAATTCCAACCCTTACAAATATTCATGCACAACACGCTCTGCTCCGGGGCGTCGCGTAATGCACCGAAATGACCAGGTGCCCCGTATCAGGGGTCCATCCCAGTCGATAGATTGCTCTACTAACGAGCTTCTAATTATAGGCGAACCCATTAAACACCTACCTCTTTTCCAAACCGTCCTTCACATCGCCGCAACCTCTGGCAGCCGCTTCGGGTCTTACTATTCCCCTCTCAATCACCTTGTCGGACATTAAGCTCTCCGCTTTCATCATTTTGGTCTTTTCCAAGCAAAAGGGTCTGACCTTGGTCTTCCGAAATGACCCGCTCGAGTCCCTCAAGGTCTCGTCAACCTTTGATTCCATACAATTCGTTCGCGATTACTTACAGCGCACAATTGAGCAACAGCTCCGCAACCTAATGATGGACGAGCTTCCTGCCATTATCCACAGACTCTCTCTGCAGCTGTGGTGCCCTGACCAGGCGAACAAGGGCACCGAGACACCAGCGGAAGACGCTGATGTGAAAGACGCCGACCCGTTTGCAAGTCCGCCGCTGGACCCTGTCGATGCGAATGGTAATCTTCTGGATTACAATACCGTTTCGGAGCTCACCTTGAACGGCGGTGGTGGGATGCCCTACTTGTTCTCGCAAAAGAACTTGCTTCGTCTAGCCGCATTGACGGATTCGCATCGAACGCTGTCTCTCTTTACCCCAGGTATTAAGGATGTCGTTTTCCGCGCCTGGTCTGGTTTTGGTGACCGTTCCGAAGCGGCCAGCCCTCCTTTTGCCACTCCGAGTCTCGCCAGGACTTCCTCATTCCCCACTGGAGGCAGCACCACCTATACATTTCCCGATTCAGGAAGCACAGCTCACGGGTACTTGCCATCGAGACCATCTTTCGTGAGCTTGAATTCTGCCGCCAACGGCATCGCTCACGGAGCCAACCACCGTTCAAGACCTGGTCGAAAGAAGAAGACCAGAGTCGTCAATCTTCGACGGACCAAGTCAGAAGCTGGCTCCTCTGATGTCACTTCATCCGAGGACGTTTCCGACACTGCGTCAGTCAACGTCCCATCGTCAGAACCTGTCATGTCGGCCTCCATCCCCGAGGAGCCCGCATCCGATGGAGCAAGGGTTGAGGGAGTGCCCACCGGCAAGGTTCGCTTCAGACCTGCTCACAAGGAGCACGTCCTACCCATCCGCCAGGCCCTCATGTCCGACATATACAAGAAGAAACTCGAGCAAATAGTCTCCACTCAGGAAGAGGCAAAAAACTCCGAGTCTCTCACCAATACCTATGACACAATTACCGAAAAAGCTCCTTTCGACAAGAATGGCAATCCTATCCGCCACCAACAGGCTCAAGCAAGCAATTCGTCCGACACGTCATCTGTCATCCTCGAACAGGCATGGATTATGAAGATGGCCGGCGAAATCGCCCGCCGTGTATACGACGAGAAGAACCGCCAACAAGGTATTTGGGAAGAAGGGCAGACTGCCCCCCCTCCTGCCTATGAGGCTGCAACTCACTAAGCCAACCCAAACCAAATGATGCTGCATACATGAAGTATACTTGTCATGGTTGAGTCACTCGCTGAGACTAGCGTCTCTTACTTCCATTTTCAATCCCCCAGCACTATACAATGTACAAGCGTTTGGGAAGCATTACCCCTTGCGCCTTTTTTCTTTCCGAAAAAAAAAAACAACATCATTAAGTCAACATATACCATGAGCGTGTCTGAGCGTTGCAACATTACTGGTTTCGATGATTGAAGCCGTCATTTGTTTTATACTTTTTTTTTGTTCTTTTTTCCCGATTCTTATACCCGTGGAGGAATCAGATGAAGGGAGAGGGCTAGGAATATTCGTTGACTTATCCCCCCAATATTTTTTGGATCGAAATGACACGCTGTCCCAGGTGGACAGGCGGGTTAAGATGCCGTGTTTTTAATCGAATTGGGGGTTGGGATAGGTAATAAAATGGGGATGGGATGGGTTGTGAACGGAAATGGAAATATAGACGGATGATTTTTGGAGTTGGTGTAGGAATTACAATGGCAGAGGGACGCTCGGGTCGTGGTGATATGATACCAAGAGAAAAACTCCAATCTTGATACTACCAACTAGTAATATGGACCATTTGGTGTCTGTTCTTGTGCATGTTTACCAAAGTTGTCGATAAGCCATTTGCGATCCAGTCACCAGTGTATCCCATCTATATATGCCTCTCTATCTCGAATCATTAGAGGTTACAGACATCATTTCCGGACTCCCTGTATTGTCTATACATTCTGCATATTAAACAATGTGGACAGAGCAAGGACGGTAACGTGCACGTCGTGACGTTGCTATTCTTGCTGCGCAGACTTCATCATGTCCATCCTTGTATATTGCATGTGCTCCCAGGCCGGTCTTATATCCCTTCCCCGGTGCGCATAGTTCTACCTCACGGCATTTGTTAATATGCGACTGAGATTAGGCGTTGTATGAGAACCGCAAACTCTGGATGTTTCTCTTGGTGGGCGTGGAGAACCACCTTCATCGAACAATGAGATAGCATCCTACCCATAGGATATGAACTGTTACCGAGACAATAGATGGTATGATGTAGGCCTCGTATCAACGCGTTTCTGAGCGAGATGCAACTTTTTTGCAAGGTTCAGACATTTCCAAGTGTTTTTGGACCCAAAATCTCTGTTCCATGTTCCCTCGGCAGGCATCGGCGGCAAGCCTTGCTGGGTTTCGTGCATTGAAGTTAATCAGCGTTTTGGCAGCGTCTGTTCCTCGCCCTCTAGGCAGGTTTCGCCGCCGCCGCCGCCGCCGCTGCCTGATTCTCAGCCTTGAGCTTAGCCAGTAATTCTTCCTTGGCCTTGAGCTCCGACAGGATCTGCGCGCACATTTCCTCCGTCTTGGCCTGCGCCTCCTTAAGCCTCCGCACCTCAGCGGCTTCAGTCTCGCGGCTAAACGGCTGTCCAGGCCGGTTGTGGTTCGGGATCATGGCCGTATGCTCCCACACCTCGCCGCTATCGGGGGCGGGTAGCGGCGGCGGTGCACGGTTTTTGCCCTTTCCCTTGCCGGACGCTCCAGATGGCTTCCAGCCTTTGGGCACCGCCCCAGATGTCAGGATCTGGAAGAATGCTTCGTACGGTTCGTTGAAAAGCTGCTCCTCGTAACTCCAGGACCGGACCTCTCCATTCTTGGTCACCATTGACTGCTTCTCCTCTTCGGTCCGGCCGAACGGGTGCAGGCGGAGATAGTGGTACATGGTCTGCGGCTTCTCGCCCGAGTCGTTGACGTAGTACAGCTTGATGGTGATGTCGAATTCACCCCATCCCGTCTCGTTGACGACAAAGGGCTTCCCCTGCTCGCCCTCGACCACTGTGTTGGGCTTGTTAGCGTCTAGTTCCATGGAGGGCTGGGTTTTCTTTGACAGCCAGACACGGGTGAGCAAACCGTACTCCGCACGTAGTTGGGAATCGATTCGTGCAGCTTGAACTGAACACGGCGCACCCAGTACGTGATGTCTGTGTCTTCCAGGCCTTTCACGAACACCTGCCATGAATGGGTGTGGTTGTCTGGCGTGCCGGGCGGCTTGGGATTCGTCTCGGAGAAGGGAATGGCGGTGGTGCCGACGATAAAAGGCCGTCGCACCTGCGTCAACTTGACGCGTTTGCCAAGCTGGTTCGAGGGGGGCATGGTGGCGGGCGGCGGGCGGCGGAGAATATTTATATATATGTAAGCAATCGGCGGTTCAATTGATGGTGGATGTTCTTCGACCGTTAGACCTGATGCGCTTTATGGTGGTGGTGCGAAGAGTTCAAAGTTGCGACGGACAGATTAAAAAAGTAAAGGACCAAGATTAACTGAGGGAGTCTGTCAGCCTTGTGAGCTAATAGGCTATGGCGTCCAGCCAGTCCCGTCGCGACCGTCCCACGGCCAGGAATAATGTCATGCTCGTAACATACGCAGTAGTCGTCTGCTGTCGCCTCAAACTCATTTTCAAATCCCTGAATTCCACTAGCAAGGAAATTAAAAAAAAAAAAAATGCAGGCCACTGATTTTCGGAATTTTGCATCAACCTACGCGTTAAACTTGCATGGCATGTGTGTCACTCTGCGAACTAGACCCCAAACCGGACCCCCAGGCAGAGAGCTCCCACAAGTCATCCCTGCACAAGCTGGGGCGTCAACGTATGATCTCATGACTTTTGATACCAAGCGCCATCCTCAAATCCTGAAGCTCTCAGTCTATCCCATAGCTCTTCACCCGGCTCAACCGTTTTCTTCCTTCTTCCAATTTACTCAACAAAGTGTGATCCAGCTACCAGCAAGCTCGACAGCCCTCCACAGTCAGCATAAGAATCCATCCAAGCTCCCCGAACACGGCTCCGACAGCCGAAGTGTCCATCAAATCATGGCGGCCGCAGCAACGAGGCTCGTCGTCTGCGGCGGAAGCGGCTTCCTAGGCTCCCGCATCTGCAAGTACGCTGTCGCCAGAGGGTGGGAAGTCACATCAATAAGGTAAATTGGCCTCGCCTTCCTTTCCTCCCATCCCAACCCAGCCCTTCCCTAGGCTTCCGTTCATTGACACGCCCATGCAGTCGATCAGGAGAGCCGAAATGGGACTCGGTCACCTCCTCGCCTCTCCCACCGTCCTGGTCACACAAGGTCTCGTGGGAACGCGGCGACATCCTCCGCCCCGCAACGTACGCGCCGCTGCTCAAGGGCGCAGACTGTGTCGTACACAGCATGGGCATCCTCCTCGAGGCAGACTACAAGGGCATCGTCTCCGGGAAGGAGTCGCCGCTCACCGGCCTGCAAAAGATGTTCTCCCCAGTTCGCGAGCGTGGCATCAACCCGCTGGATAGAAAGGCCGGTGAAGACATCAAGCCGCCAAATCCTACCGACCAGTTCTCCTACGAGGTCATGAACCGCGACAGTGCCGTCGCGCTGGCTAAGCATGCCGCGGCGGAGAAGGCCAGCGCCTTCTGCTACATTTCCGCCGCTGGAGGTGCGCCCATTATGCCTCCGCGGTACATCACCACCAAGAGACAGGCCGAAGTGGCCATTGCGACTAATTTCCCCGAGATGCGTGGTGTCTTTGTGCGGCCACCATTCATGTATGACAGCTCGCGCAAGATCACCATGGGTATGGCTGCTATGGCTGGCGCAGGCACACTGTTCACGAAAATGACAGGAAACTACTTGAAAGATTTCATGGGTGCTGCTGGCACAAAACCGCTCCAGGTTGACACGGTTGCAGAGGCGGTTGTGGAGGCACTCAGTGATGAGACAGTCAAGGGACCGGTCGAAGTTCCTCAGATTGAGGAGCTAGCGAATAAGGGATGGCGGAAGAGTATGTTGTAAGATTATGTGCCCAAACGAGGTGAAGCCCTTTAGACTGTACAATGAAAATCCAACGCCAAAATATGCACCGGGTATTAAAAAAAACCATTGCCTTAACCCATCTTCATAAAACTCCGTGATAAGATGCCTTCTCAAGACCAACCATATATAACCCCCCATGTGTCGTACCCATAACAGAATTGTAACGTTGTGCCATGGTTGTCTGTCTCGCAACCATGTCAAACGACATTCTTGCAGTCCTTCTCGTACCCTCCGCCTCATTCAAATCATGGTGCCTCTCTCGAAGCTGTCCCGGATATCGGCAGTGTACTTGTCGTAGAACCTTGCCAGCTTCTGATTGAACTGCTTGTTCTTCTCGTTGATGTATGTGACATCTCCGTCGTCGCCATTCTTGGCCATGCGCTCCTTTCTCTTCTTGAGTCTCTGCTCTTCGGCCCGTCGCAGATCTGCAACCAGGCGGTCCACCGCGGCCTTGTCAGGCTTGCTCTGTGTCAAGGTGGTCGTATCGGCTGTGGAATATAATGAGCCGTCTTTGTCGACAGCGATGAGCTCGCCATCTTCGGTCTCGACAATGTCCAAGCCTCCTGAAGCGGCTGCCTTTTCAATTGCTGCCATTTTCTGCTTTTCGTATTGCTCCATGTCGGGAGTGATGTTCTTAAGCTGACGCTTGTAAATCTTGTTGCTTTCTTGTTGGGGATCGCTAAAGGCGTTGTTGTCGCGATGTGCAGCCTTCTTCTTCATTCGCCTGTCCCACTTCTCGCTCTCGTCAACCGTCCAGTCCCAAGCCCGCTTGCGCTCAAAGTCTTTGCCGGATTCTTCGATCTCCGCCTTGAGAAGTTTGTGCGCTGCGATGTCATGCTTGCGCTGCAGGGCTGTGAGTTGGCCCTGATCGGTGCCCAGTCTCTGGGATTCCTTTGTGACTTCTTTGAGGTTTGTTTCGGAGGAAGTTTTAGCTCGCGCCTGAAGGGCCTTGAAGCGGGCCATGCGATCTTCAGCTGGCGCCATCTCGAGATGTTGTTGTGTGGACTGCTGTTTGTGTGTGTGTTTGTGTAAGACTGCGCGAGAAGTTGTTGTAGGAATGAGCTCTTCGTTGAGGGCGTCTTTTGAGTAGAGATTATGCGCAGAGAAGATGCTCGCTGGTGCTGACTTGAGGTGAAGTTTGAGTATGCAAACAGAAAACAACAAGTGGATAGGATGACAGACTTGCCCTGGCATTTCTAGAGGGGAGCACTGGCTATTAATACCCGCTATACCATTTTAGGTTTCAAGTCCCATTTTTCACGTGCTGCAAGTCAAACTTGTTAGTCTCTGCGGCAAATGCACCTGAGCCTCTCAAACTATAGTGCTGCTTATTTGCCTTCCACGCGGCTTCAAGGTCTCTGGGCATGCACTGATTTTAATCTAGTCATTTGAGTGCATATCTAAACTCCACTACATATAAGGGGGGTTGATCTCATAGCGTGAAGCATAAACACCAGGCTTGCGTGATCGAGCGCACAAGGCCAACCAACCCGTCAATGCTGCTTGAGATGCACCAGACAGACCAGACGACATCTGGAACGGGCACGAGTAGTGCTGGACGCGACGAGTCTCCAGAAGGCGGATCCACTAGATCTTGGGGTTGGCATCCCCTGAGGATCCCCTGGCGGAACCCCAGGTCTTCGATCCCGCGTGGGGTGGCGCGTCAAAACCATGTCATCCCACGACCTCACTCCGAGCAATCTCGAGCACATCGAGATGCCACATTTGAGCTTCAAGCTGAAGCGTCCCCTTGAACCATATAGTATCCAGCCCATGAGAAACGCCAGCTCCACGCACCAAAGAAGATGATACGGTCAGCAGCGCGGCTCTCCCAAGCGGACCTCAGCGTGGCACCACACTTACTCCGACCCAAAACTTTCGTGAAAAAACTTGGCAAGAACAATGAGGTCTACTACACCCTAGTGAAGAAGGGGCTTGCGCATAATCCCGATCCGGGCAAGGAATATGAATTTTTTGAAATGCCGAATTTACTGCTGGATCTCGATGCAGAGGGCACACGACACGTGCGGTCCGTCGAGGACACAGATGAGAAGCTAATGACGGCCAGATGGGCAGAAGTGCCAAGACGAAAGGCAGTGCAGACTCGATTAAAGGTGTTCGAAGAACAACTGTACGAATCACGGAGAAAAGCACGCGAGATCATGTCACAACCCACCAACATTTGGCGCATCACTTCCCACGATATCGTCTCCGCTGCCCTTCATGGAGGTCCTGGTCCCCAAAGGAAATCGGCTCGGGAGTTAACACCGGCGGACGTGATATCTGGCCCAAGCAGCACACCAACACCATGCAGCAATTCAGAAATCATCGAAAAGCTCCGTCTGGAAAACGGCATACCTCAGCACGCCGTCAACGAGGACCAACTCCTCCTCCGCTGGATGACCCTCCGCTACAACAGTCTCACGCAGTCATCTCAAAAACGCAGACGAAAAGCTCCCTCACCAGAACAACTCACACGAGCTCTTCAAACCCAAACGACTATTCTGGGTGTGCGTAGACTGGTATCCCAGGCACTCTCGGCCGGCACTAGCGTAAACAGCTTCCAGAGTGAGACCAAGCCAGCAATAAGTCTGCCTCACCAGATACGCTCTACATGCGCCCATATCTTGAGTCAAGACCCGCTCAATCGCGACTTGTATATTCAGGCGCTCACATTCCTCGGAAACCTCTCTGAGCGACTTTCTTCCCTCAATGCGCAACTGGGACCCATCTTGTGCGGGCTGGCCTTGAAGCTTTCTGCAGAGATTGGTTCCTTGGAAGCGCTACCAGGCTGGCTATATCGCAGCCACCACACCACCAGCAACGGCGAGCTGCTCATGGAAGATGTATTGTCAGCACTCACCTCTTTGCGGAGCACACTGAGGGACAAAGGCCCCGTAAACCTGCAGACCATTGAGCAACGCCAGCTTTTGTTCCAATTACTTACGGGTATCGACGAAAATGACACGATAGCCAAAGATTCTTTCAGGACATTTGGTACAGCTTTCCTCGAGGCGGACAGCTCAAGCACGGCCAGCCACGCATACTCTGCATACATTACACTTCTGGGACACCTTGGCGCAGCACGAACGCTGTGGCGGGAATGGCGAGAGCTGCCCTCTTCTGTTTCAAAAGACGAGGACATCGTGCTCGGCTTTTGCAACGCTCTGAAACAGGCAATCCGCGTCATGCCCGGCTCTGATGGCGAGTATGCACCGGATTCTAGCCTCGCTGCGTGCGCCACGCTAGATTATCACGCCATTGAGATGCAGGATACTGCTGCTTGGCGAGCACACGTCTCCGACGACATGGCTGGGCAAGCAAGTGTCAATGTTGCAGCATGTCGGGCTACTTTGGACCTGCCTCTCGCCGATTGTATCAAGGGATTTAGAACATTGTAGGCTTTGCAAAAATTCGAGCCTAAATGGCGGGACGAAAGGGGTTGCATTGCAAACAGCCCTATTTCGAAGAGGAGAGAAGCCAGGCTCGTGGTCTACATACCTGTTGACGGGCATTGACAGTGTCAGATGCTGGTATTTGCGTCGTAAGCGAGTGGGAAGGACGGGGTGAGGTTGGAAATGGCTTTCTGTAATGGTACTGGACATGTAGATATTGCGCTGGAAGCCAAGCTTTGTACATTGTGGCGTGTCACTTTTGCTTCCTGGGCCTGATATTCGTTATTCGGTGCATGTGCCAAGATGGACAAGCCAGAATTTGTTCTCCGTCAGGTCAGGCGAAGTGAAATTCTGCTAGTCAGAGCTACCGCGGCAGTGAACTCAGAGTCTACAAGGAGTTGGCGGCTCGGATCGGAGACCTGCCGAATATACGATTCCCGGTATCGGCCCGTAACGAGAGCTCTCTATTCTTTTATCAATATGACCAGACGTTTGTTTATCTCTGGGTCAGAACCAGGTGGCTCATCCGTGAGCCGAATCCACCCCCAGATACGGTATTGGTATTGTGCATGCATTCAACCCCCCATGGCTGTTTGGTTAATTCACACCGATGTAGCCATGGTCAGGCAACGCAAGTGCTATTCACCAAATGTGTCGGAAATTTGTTACTCAAGTGCCGTGCCCTACGCAATGAGCAGGCCTATAGCTGCATTATGTGTTTTGTCGTCGTAATGTTCTCCAGTAAGTCGGCAGATGTCCTGAACTGGACACGTCTCGCTTCCAAGCTGGGGGGTTTTCACGGTCCAATCGACAGACAACGGACGTCGTTTTGTGAGCTGTGTCGCTTCTGTCCATTTTCACAAACAAACTGTTACGTTTGAGAGGGTCCAATCCGATGGATCGCGGACACTAATCCGAGCCCTCAAACAAAGTCGGTCCATGAGCTCTACCATTTTCGGCCGTGGGCTTCTTTACGGCTTCCGCCCTGATCCGACGACGTTGAATGAACATACTCTCTCCGAGGGGGTATCGGTTGATAGTCAAGTTGGAGGGAGTTCAAGTGAGGTTTGATGCTCGTTTGTCCATGGCTGCATTATGGATACGCATTGTCAACCGAGGCCTCGCAAGCTAGGTTTGGGCCAATTCTGCAGCTTCCAAGTTACAGGTCCCGCAGGCCTCGCTGGCTCCGAGGAAGTCGGGCATTTTCTGGCAAGGGTATCCAGGTAATCATCCAAAGGTTTCCAAAAGTTAGTGTTCTGGACTTTCTAGGCGCTTGCCTAATGGAATGGATGGCGGGTGTGTTGGCTGTAGGCCACAAGTCATGGCCTGCATGGTGCAGTCGAACCGGATTGCCATTCCAGGTGTAACGTCTGTGCAATCCATCATGACACGCATATTGTACGATGCCGATTTAGGCGACGGCGAGAGTTGCGAAACAGCACACCTGAATATGCAGATGGAGTCAACCGTGTTCAGTACGCCGTTGGTCTTGAAGCCAGGCTTTGGAGCAAGTCGGGAGATATTCACGTCTACCAAGTGCCAAGCTTGGCTTGCAATGGATCCCTCGCTAAAGCCGAGCATTCTTTGAGGCAGGAATGATCGAGACGTTGTAATGGCCGCACTAGCTTGAATTGCGGGGGAGACTTGCAACATCCAACCATTTCGCCTGCGGGCAAGGGGACTGGAGCCAAAGGAAACCAAGGGGAGGCAAATGAGAATGGCTTCAAGAAGAAGAAGAAAAAATTTTCATTTAGATTTTCGCAAGGGTGCTCCGTAGTTAGGCAACATTGAATGGGGTGAGACGGGCGACTAGTTAATAATAATAAGTGCGCCAAAGGGAGCCCAGGCGCTAGATGACGCGAGTGCCCGAGCTGAGTCCATCAGATTGATAAAAGCTAGACGCGACGAGTTGGAATTAACCAGCACAAGGGTCAGTGCCTGTGGGCCGCAACAACCGCGTGCTACCTGGATGGACCTGTGACTGGTTGAGCAACAGAGGAGCTCGTTGAAAGACCGACTTTGTTGGCTTTTGCGGTGAGGCGGGAGACAGGCATTGATGGCCGACAAAGGCATCTAGAGGGGGGAGCATCAAGCTAGTAGTAGTAGTGGAAGATGAACAGGGCCCATTATCCGAGCCGCTGTGGAGTTATATTTTATTTTATTTTTATTTTTAAAATCAATCAATCGAGAATAGTCGTATCGTGAAATGTGCCTTGACTCGGCTTAAACCTGTGTTTAGAAAGGGGGGGAGGGCAAGGTTGCGTCGATTTGCCTGTCCGGAAAGATAAAACCAGACGTTTTCTGTTTCTTAGCGCCTGCATTCGGACACTGGCGTGTACCGCAGTAAAAAGCTTTTGCAGGCGTTTGAAGTCTAGGCGTTTTAGCGTTTAATAACTTCTGGACAGAAAGCAAATTGCCGAGACGCGTGGTCCATTATGAACAGTGACGAGTATTCCGAAATGGCATCATCAATGCCAGGGAGGTACATGTCAGAGGACGGCGTACCAGGCTACCCTCAACGATGCTCTTGGTTTATCCTCTCTGGAATCACTCGTCCGTTTCCATTGTCGGATAGATCGGAATGGATGGACGACAGAAACAGAATCAGGCCACCCGGGTGCATTTTATGTACCTCGCTCACATAAAAACTATGGGGCCGGTACCTCAGGACTGTGCCAAGTATCCAGGTACATTCATTGCATGACATTCGTGATTGGTGATTTTGCACAAGATGGCACCAGTTATCCGTTTCAAAAACGGAGGATGGGGGAGCTTGATGTCCCATCAATTCCGGGCACGTCGACACATGTACGGGATACTTGCTTACACCAGTGCTTAATGCGATGCTTGAATACTTACTTTCGCATCGTGCCATGTAGCATGGAGCATGTGGCACGAGTAGAGCAAAGGCAATTTGGCAGAGGTGGCAGGTCTTGAAAGCCTCGCCTCTGCACAAAGCCCACCGTGCTTGCATCAGTCTTGCGTGATACAGCGCAAGAATGGAGCCTTCAGAAAGGCAGATGAATGTATCGGGACCAGCGCTTGGCGACAAAAACGGAACGAATGACGACATAGGCAACTTTGTAGGTAAATACACACACATCAAGCCTATCCCAAGACCGAGGCATGGCTACCTACTAGGTACCTACACCTAATACGTACCTACATACACCTACGATGTACCTGGTAGGTAGTAGCCAAGTCCTCATTCCCTCTCTCTTCCCGCCAGTCCCCATCGTCTTTTTCCGTCGTCAATTGCCGGTTTTGTTACACCAAATATTCTTCATCTTGGTGAACGATTCTTGTCAGCCAAACACGTCAAACACGGTCAAGCAGCAAGCGCCGTGAAAAACGTGCCTTGCTTACTGGACGCCATGGGCCTGTAGCAGGCGATCCTCCCCGTAAATTGTGCCATTCGGCCCACAAACAAGGCGTCCATACCACAGTCCAAGACGGCCCACGCTGATTGCATCGCGACGGTGAAGGCTTTGGGATGCTTGTGCTGCAGGGGGGGCGGAGTGGATTTCACGAGGCCCATCAGCATTGATGGCTGGACGCTCACACAGTCGATGCAGCTGATTAGTCGTGTCCATATTCATGTCCAGAGGTCGACTGGTCCAACGTCCGGGGTGCCGAGAGGCCTGTAGACGGACCACGAGGTGCTCTCGGCGCTAAATGGGGGACATTAGGATGCTAACACAGGGAGTCTAGCGCCCTGCGTGTGCACACAGATCCACCATGGTCTCTGAAGGCCCCCCTCAAGTGCGGTGCCCAGCGTCCGCCTGCAGGGCTGCACGACACCCCGCTGGAAATGGACCGTGGTTGATCGACGTGTAACGCCAGCGTTGGCCCAAGCCCATCGATGTCGACCAGACTCCATCTCTCCCACATTGTTGGGGTATGTGTGGTCTGAGCTCAGGCGATATGTATATTCGATAGTTACTGCCGGGCATGATTCGACCTGGCCTTCCAGATGTCGACTGGACCATGTTTGCTGTACGTACGCAGTATCACTGTATGTGTTAATGCCCCTCTAGCCGTCATATCAGAACAACGAATTGCACCCAACATTGCTTCAGGAAGAATCGGCTTGATTCACTATTTTGTGCAAGACAACTGGGGCTTCAAAATCTCAACACATGTTCATGCACAATGGCCGCTAAGCTGACAAGGGCAATCCACAGATGTACCTGTCCGGCCACCCCTAGTTGGATCCTCTGGCTCTGGCTGGCTGACGAAAATATGTCAAGTATCCTCAAGTACTCCGCACGACACGCAACGTTGAACGTGCCGGCCTGAATGGCGCTGACGAAGCATGAATTACATTCTGTCGACTATGCACACTGCATGTATTAGTAGAAAGGTATACTCCTTACTCTGTGTAGAGCAATGGAGGAAAAATTGGCCCAAGCCAAAGACCCACCGTCTGACAACATGGGCAATAATGGCGCTTGGCTGCCTTCAATGTTGGTCTCTTGCAAGCATCATGGGACTCGCATTTCGGCCAGGGTTGATCCATCTCTACCAGGCCTTGTTTTTTTTTTACCCTCCCCATCATCCGCCTCCCCCGTGCCTTTTTCCTGTCTTTTGGATGCACGCCCTCGGTTTCTTGTCTCCCCACCTGGCCGCCGGGGCCTCTCCACCCTATAGTTGGTGCCTGGCATTGGCATGGCATGGGTAAAGTAAGTGGGCAAGTTGTGCTGCCCTGGCGCTACAGTGGTGACGCTCATACTGCTGCTGGGCGGCGTCGGCGGCGTTTCAACAACACAATTTACCATCCGATGTCCTGGATTACGTGCTGTATGTATACTCAAGTAGGGAGGACGCCGCATCGAGTGTCGACTTCTTCTCGTTTGCCGTCGTCGATGCTAATCCAATCCCACCACCGAGTCGAGCAACTTTGTGCAACTACCGAGGTACCGTTCTTAGAAGGTATTGTAAAGTATCAATTGATTGTATAGCGCAATAGTGCAGTCTCCTGCCCTGTTCATGGTTACCTGGCATAGTCATGTACGTTTTTAGTTTGATGTACATGCAATACACTGCCCATGTGGGCAAGTACCAGTAGACATGACGGGTGTTTCATGACTTGGCGGTTCCTTCCCTTGTTGCATACCATCTTGTACATATTGAGCCGGGCTCCCGAACGCCGTCGAAGCATTTTAGACCTCAAGTGCTCTCTTTGGTTTTCTGCCAGCCAGACGGCTTCTGAAGTTGACGACGCCATATTACTTCGTCTCTTTTTTGCTAGCCCTTCTTCATTCTACAGAGTACCGAGTGCGCACTGTCCGATCCCTACGCCCGCCTCACTCGTCACTCGCTGACCATGGTCTCTGTCGTCCTCGCCGTCTAAGCCGAAAGACAAGCAAGTAAAACAGATCGCCCTTATCGTCCTCCCCGCATTGTCAGGCGCACGGGGATATTCTGTCTGTCTCACAGCCGCAAACTTGCATTGCAACTCGCTTTGCATAGCATACTTGCGCCATTCATTCAGCAAAAAGTTATCCATCCGTCTCTGCCCGTACTCAGTACATACTACTTATACACCGTATTGTGTACAAGAGGACAACTCGGTGTAACCCGCAGTTTTATCCGAAACCGTACAGGCAACTGCGCCACGCATTATTCGTTCCAACATTGACGAAACACGAGCCGATATTGACAAAACCTTCTCAAACCTGTCGCAATCGAATCGCCAAATCACATTCACAGCACGGACTCCGGCTGGTGTGTCGCATCCAGATTGGCCCCGTACTTTTACGTACCTGTTCCAATATCACCGAAACGTCGCTACCTCTGTTTTTGCTAGAGGCTCCATATATCTGCCCTTGTTCAAGCAAGGCCTCGCAAGTCCCACAATCCAAACTTATTCGATCGTTTGTGGCTCTGGTCCCCGTTCCTTATTAGTCCCGTCACCCTCTTGGCCCAAGACCCAGGACGCAAGTTGGCAGCAACGTTGGAACCTGGCCAGCCGCCTCTGCCCGCCGGTTGCGTCTCCGCTCTCGGCTTTTTGTGAGCAAAGCAGATCACGACACCGGACCACCGAGCACGCACAGCCCTGCCGGGTCCAAGCATAAACTCGAGGAAGAGTCACACGCCAGGAAGACCCTTTTTTTTAAAAACTGTTTATTTTCCTTTACTGTTTTCCTTCTCTTTTCTGCTGTTATCATATAAGTTATCACATCGACGAGTTTCTCTCGGGACTTCTTGGCTTCACCCTCCACACAAACACTATCGCTATCACCGATCCATTGCTTCGACCGAGTTGCTGATTTCTCGAGGTGCATTTCTCGACCTACTTCCTGGCCAGCACCCTCTCCAGCACACAGTAGTACCATTTGGGAAACCCATCGCCCACCGCCGGCGCACAAGCATCGCAATCACTTACACGTCGCGTTCGTTGGCGTGACCCAGCTCTGCATCACCTTATCTCGAGGGACGAATACCCCAGCCAAGTTTCATCTCACTCCTGTTTTATATCTCGCTATCGCAACCCTCTGTTCTAGCGTGATTTGTATCCCCGTTAGACGACTGCGCAGCTGACTGCCGGCTTCAATTCGGGTGCATTTCTCCTTATCATCTGCCACGATAGGAACAACCCGGCCAAACACCCCGCGCATTTACGGTGCTGGCGTCGGTCGCTGTCTGCATTCGGGAGCACAGTTCGCTGCACGCACACGTGGACGACTTACATTTTGCTCCCACGAGGTACTTTCGGTTCAATTGACAGATATCATCTCTTTGGGACGCAGTCATTCGTGATAACGATTTTTGACTCCACCATTTGTTATCCCGCTTGTTATTGACGGCAGTGGGCGCCTCTGTGCAACCATCAATACGGCACCGGTGCCGCTTCCAGAGCCACCACATTGACCAATCAACTACACAACGAGACGGCTACGGCCCAATCTCGACCATGCATCACCACCGCAGAAAGTCTGGTCATGGCCAAAATACCTCTATGACTGACGTCCGAAAGTCTGTGACCGCTACTGATCCAACATCAAAACACAAGAGACCCGGCATGACGAGACGTCATACTCCTGTGAATGCCCAGAAATTAGGCCGAAGCCATCGTGAGCGAGAACGGGACTACCAAGACGCCTGGGAGGATGAACGTGAAAGCTTTCCACAATACTGGTAAGCCTCAAGAAGCATCTGGCTTGGATACCCAATGCTAATTCTTCTTGTGCGTATAGCATGACTTGTGAGAAGCAATTCGTACCTCACGACGAAAGACATCTCTATTGCTCGGAAACGTACGTATACAATCCACCTTTCTACTACCCAAACTACCGATTCAGCGGAATCAGCCACGCACGAATGTCATTTCGCCCAGGTTTGGTGCTAACATTGTCACACTCTAGCTGCCGACGTGTAGATCAGCAAAACTCGTCTTCACACTCGTCGCAGATACGTGCGTATTCTGTCAGCAGCAATCTCTCGTATTATTCCACAGGGAACCAGGAGCCAAGGGACATCATACCTCGGGCCTCACCATCTCGACCAAATTCGATGCAATTCAGCCAGTCGCCACCGGCATCACCAGGAACGATTCCAGCTTCTCATCACATCTCCGCTCTCTCTGCGCTGCGATCTCTCAACATTGGACCTCCTAGCCCTCCCTCTCCCACAGGGAGCAACGGCGGCAGTCTTTGGCCGTTTAGCCGAAGTGTTGCAACGAGCCCTGCAAGTTCGTATCGACGCCCTTCTGGCCCATATCTATCCTCAACATATGACACGGGTCACCACTATGGCCCCGGTGCATACACGTACGACTCAGGCTCGCACGGCTTGGACAGGCCTCTTCCAACCAGGCATCCTGGAGCGTACTCTCGACCCAAGAGTATTGAATTGGTGACTCCGGTTCTGGGTCGGTAATGGCTCGTGCTTGAAGATCTTCACGGGTGTCACTGTCCCAGAATGGGTTTCAGCGCAGGACGACTTTGGCCAGCAGTTCTAGCTTGCAAGCGATTGTGGAGCTGTGAATGGGAGCTGCGCTGGCCTTGGCTGGGTGCGTGGCCACCAAGCTTGTGCAGCGACTTGGTCAATAAAATTGGCGGTCGCGACTTGCGGGGCTAGAGGGGTGAAGATCTCGGTACTCAGGGGCAAGGAAGGGATCTCCCACCACCAGCCAGTCCGCAAGGCTAGCACACAGCCATGTGACCAAAAGAGGCGCCCGCTTCTGGCGTCTAGCTTTCCCCCCTAGTTTGATTTTCGGCATGGATGATTTCCAGCGATCTAGCGACAATTTACTAGACTAGAATGCACAAGACGGATAACGACTCAATGCGTTGACGACAAGACGGAGGAAGAAGTTTTTCACCACGCTCTGCATAGAGTCAAACGTTGGGAGTCTCTTTCGTCTTGCTTTCATCGGTCCATGATTCCCTAGAGGAATGGGGCCTCGTTTTCCCATCTTAATCTGCCTCGTTTTCTTTGTACCCATCCCAGGAGCGCGTGTTGTGGCGCCTTTGACCAGCTGTCAACTGGGCTGTTTTGTTTACTCGGTATTGGAGCTTCATTTTGCGGGTGGGGGGTATCTCTGTTGTGTTTGTTACAATACAGTACTGTTTGACAGATTTTGGCTTGGTTTTGGCCAAAAAAAAAAAAAGTTGCAGAGCAAATGATGATGACGAATTGTTTATGGGGATATTGTTCTTGGTATATTCACGCATCTATAGATAACCACCAAAAAAGGCATCGTGTGCATTTAGGGAGCATTTGAAGACTGGCGGGAGATGTTGTTACTGGAATGGGCCAGGTTCTTGGAGTCTATTGAAGAATGTATGTATTTTGATTGAATTGGACGGTGCGTTGGAGCTCATGAATACTAGTAGTTGTATATAATAGTGGCGGCCGGCGCGGACAACTTGGTTTTGGCAAAAAAAAAAAAAGTTGCAGAGCAAATGATGATGACGAATTGTTTATGGGGATATTGTTCTTGGTATATTCACGCATCTATAGATAACCACCAAAAAAGGCATCGTGTGCATTTAGGGAGCATTTGAAGACTGGCGGGAGATGTTGTTACTGGAATGGGCCAGGTTCTTGGAGTCTATTGAAGAATGTATGTATTTTGATTGAATTGGACGGTGCGTTGGAGCTCATGAATACTAGTAGTTGTATATAATAGTGGCGGCCGGCGCGGACAAGGTCACCAACGCCTCGAGTAATGGACCCCCTTGCAACCCCAGGTTTCATTTATTTGGTTGTCTCTTTACCGTTTGAACTGTGGCAAGGTGCAAGGACGATGTTTGTGCCGACTCTTTGTCCTGATTCCTGGGGATTCCGGTTGTGTTCAGAAAGCTCAGGCGCGGAAAGGCGTCTGTTTCATGGTAGTCTTCCTGGATTGGGGCTTTGACAATTAGACTGGTAGCACATGGGACGAAAAGCGAGCTGGTAGCCAAGTGGACACAGCATGCAACAGCACAAACTACCAAGCAAACACGGAGGTGGATTAAAAGTTGCCCAGTGGGTGCCTCTGGTATCCTCGAGAACCCCTAGTCCGATATAAAAGAGGAGAGAAAAGAAAAGAAGGGGGGGGGGAAACCGTCACAACAAACGCTGGCTCGTTCCGACGGGCCCTCCGAGCCGGACCGGATCAACACCCCTGCTTTCCCCTGTCCGTACGGAGTTTAACCCCGTCCAATAAAAAAATTGGGTAAAATAACAAAAGCGGGAGAAGAATCCGGGGGTGGTTCCTCGGCAATTCCCCGCAACACGTACTAGTTGTGTCTGGTACAAGTTACAACCTCGTCCTCGGTAGTAAAGGACGCGGGGGAGGGCAAAGCGTCCAGCATTCAACAGCGATGCCGAAGAGCCCCATCGGCGGGGACCTGTTGTTTGCTTCTCGCCGGGTTTTTGCCGCAAATACGGAGTACACGCCGTGCTTATCAGATACAGCACCCAGGTAGCCAAGTTGGATAGCCTGCTGCGTAGGAGGCGCTGTATCATGGTGCGTTATCGGAAAGTCAGCAGCTGGTCCATAGGCTTATCAGTCCTCGGTACTGATAAGCCTTTTCTTGGTCCTGGTGGCGTTCCTGGGTGTCTGAACTACGGGGTATGCGCCCTCTCTTTTGGCTATCCGGGCAGGCGGCGGGCTGTAGGGGCTGGGGGGTAAAACGCGGCACTGGCCCTGGGGTCGTGCTGGGCTCGTGATAAGGGCCGGGGACACCGTTTTGGTTTGGTGGTTTGTGTGCATGGACGGACTGGCTCATGGCCCGCGATGCCGTTTAAAAACACCAGGTGTGCGGCGAATATCGTGAGTGCCGCTGGTTGCCGTTGCATCTAGGGCTATCCGCAGCATGTGATTGGAGATATGCCATGTCGGTATGCTCGTGTACCTTGATTGTCAATCATATGAATGTTGGTAGACGTACTGTTCCAAGCCACGGGCAGGTCGATTCGGCAGAGATAAATATATATATTCTTGCACCATTCATTAGTCGAAAAGTGTCATTGGTAGATGATTCTACTTTCATGCCAGCCCCATTCCATGCCATGCATATGAATCGACAAAGGTTATGATAAAATACATCCAGCCCATCTAAATGCCACGCTTCCCAAATATCAGACATTTCCTTTTTTTTTCTGACTCGCACCGTTCATCATGGGGCCCTAGAAGATGAAACGAAAAAGAATAGTAACTCTCGGTTTAGAAAAGAAAAAGAAGAAGAAAAAATACATCGTCCCATAGCAAGTAGCATCACCACTCTTGTTTGAGTGCGTGGGTGCGTGTTATCGAGCTGGTGTTCTTGAGCTCGCCATCTCTCCGTAACGACCTCGGTGTTTCGTCGTGTCGTATGCTTGCAGCACACGTGTCTGGCTTTCGTCGGCCTGCGAAAAAGCATAGCCACGCTGCTTTCGCATTCGCTGCACTTGTCGGACTTTCCGGATTGCTTTCTGGAATTGCTCCATTCTGAAGGACATGTCAGTGTGCTGTGTGCTGTACTTCACGATTGCGAACTGGGAGTCCATCTCTCTCTGGGAGGCTTTTTTGGCAAAGTAACTGATTACATACCTTGGTCGATAATCCTGAATGTTATACTTTTGAAGCTCTTGGGCGTGGTGATATGGCTTTGACATGTACATGCGTTTGGCGTACTTCCATACGAAATCACGTAGCAGGCACATAAAAGCCAAGACGACAGTCTGAAGCCAGAAGACTGGACTGGTGTACAACCGTGGAACCACGCCATGGTACTCCATAGAGAAATTAACCTTGGGCGCCACCGTACCGTAGGCAGCAATGAAAATATACCAAATGGCCATACTGCCGGGAATGGCCAGCACGTGGTATTTGGTCCAGTTGCTCGTAACAAGGGCCGCTTTACCCAGGACCGTCAATAGGACTGCACCGTACAGAGCGGTTCCCCAGACCCAGTGGCCTGCAATCTTGCCGTCTCCTTGGATGAGATCTCCGTACCAGAAGAGTTCTGCAAAGACATAGAGGATAATGGAGTGATAGAAAGCGTTGGCAATCCACTGAGCAAACGTCTTTAGCTTGAAAGAGGAATTGCTCTGGCCCATGCCGTATAGCGGAGGGTATCTATCAAGCAGACGTGCCGAGACGTATTGATCGAGAATGCCAAGGACAAGGGGTGGAAGAACAGTGTAGAAGACGTTGTAGAACGATAGCGTCCATGACTCGTAAATGACCTGTCCAGAGAACACATTTTGAAATGTAAACTAGAGAGAAAAAAAAGGTCATGGTTAGCAAGCCTTGTCTCATTTCCCGCCTCCTCGGGGCTACGCTTACCCAAAATTGTGTGAGATATAAAGTGATATTCTTGTAAAATGAAAACAAAATCGTCTTGCTCACACGCTGGTAGCTCCACGCGCCGTGAACAAGCAACAGCTTGCGGAGATATCTGAACTGGGCAATGGCAACATCTGCACTCCGTGCAGCCTGCAAACCTTCCATGCCACTGATACCAATACCAATATGGGCAGCCTGAATCATAGAAACATCGTTGGCTCCATCGCCAATGGCGAGGAGGATAGAGTTTTTCTGATACTTCTTGACCAATTTGACCACAAGAGCCTTTTGCAGCGGCGACACGCGGCAGCAGACAACTGCCTTGCACATGATGGCAAGATCCAAGAATAGCTTCTCAAGGTCCTGCTCCAGCGCATATGTCAACGACTTGCCATCTATAACCAATGCCAGTGTCTCCGACTCTATGGTACCATCTCCCTGGGTTCTGATCGCATCCAGCTTCTTCTGAATGTTGTCTCGCGTTGCTGCGGCAGTTTCTTCATTCACAATCAAAAGCATCATATCCTCGCTAAGAAGCTTGCAACTCATGCCAATATTGATTGCGGTCTCCTGCCGATCTCCAGTGAGAACCCAGACCTTGATGTTGGCCTCCTGCAAGGTATGAATCGTTTCAGGAACTCCGTCTTGCAGGCGATCCTCGATAGCAGTGGCACCGAGCAAGAAAAAGTCGTGCTCAATAATCTCTGCAGCCTTGTCTAGCTCCTCAGCACGTGTTCCCCCCACAGTTGTTGAGGCAGCATCGAATATTTGTTGCCATTCGGCAAATTCCGGCTCAGGGACCTCGCGCATAGCTAAACAAAGCGTTCGGAGACCTTCTGACGCGTATTCTTCTAGGTGCGCGAGAGTCGCTTCAACATGAGGGTTCTGGTCGTTGAGACGTTCCAAAATGACTGTATCCGCCCCTTTGCAGTAGATTCGGACCTTGCCATCTGGGCAACGGTAAATAGTCGACATTCTTTTGCGTGTCGAGTTAAACTCGCAAACTGCCAAAAGCTCATATTCCATCTCCTGGCCACCAGCTTCGATAATGACTGACCTCGGCTTTCTTGCTGTGAAACGATAACCAAGATCAACAGCTCCCTGCACTAGGGCGCCTTCATCAGGAGATGCAGCCTGGTATTTTATGTGGTCCTTCTCGTCCATTTCGGGAATCACAGTGTGGCAGGTTGCAAGCAGGGTGAGGAAGTGGTCAATGGCCATTGCGGTGTCGTGGCCATTTTTCAAGTTGGATCGTAGCCTTTCAAAGTTGTGAATGCCCGTATCATCATCGGGTCCAGTTGCGCGGCGGTCCTCGGGGACTTTATCGGCGTACTGGAGACCGGCTATTGTGCACTGCTTAAACTCCATCTGGTTACACGTAAGAGTACCCGTCTTGTCGGAGAACACAAACTCGACCATGCCCAGTTCTTCAACCAAACTGGATGTCCGACATGTCGCTGGGGTATCAGCCTTGTCGTAATACATATCGAGATCGTCGTTAATGAGTATGCCGTGCCAGTATTTGACAAGTTCCACAGTGACGAAAAGAGAAATAGGAACCAGCGACGAGAACAATACCCAGTACGTAACCATGTCCCTGGCAAAGGTCTTTACCACCGTGCCAGCGTTGTCAATCTTGTCCAGATAAAGATAACCAAGTGAATCGCCGTTGACGCCACGCATAATAAGGTCTCCAACGGTGCAAACCACACTGAGCGCTAAAAGCATGCCGATGAGTACCAAGACCAGCCAGTTGAGCTTCTTTTCAACCTTGGTTCGTTTGATGGGAGTGGCCGTCGCATTTCGCATGAGCTTTGTCTCGTGACCGGTAAAGACAACAACACCGTGGATCCAGGGGGTATTTCGGAGTGTGGCACCTCGAAGGAGGAGTTGTTCGGGATTCAACGCCAATTCCTTCTCACCAGGGCCAGTTTGCATCGTCAACGTTGCTTCATAAGTGTACAAGCTGCTGTTTGGTTGTTCCGACTTGATTCGCCCACCAAGTCTGCTCAATTCACTGGACGAGACCATGGATGAAGTCTCGGGCAATGCTTGTTTGATCTTCAGGTTCGTCTCGCCGTCCAAATTTGCTGTTTCGATATAACAGAGACCTTCAGGCTCAGAACTAGCCAAGAGAACCAAATCGGCAGGGAATGGCTCTTCCGACTCCACACGCACAATGTCACCAACCGCTACGTTGATCCAGTTCGTTTCTGTAAAGCTAGATCCGCGCAAGACTCTTGCTTTGGACGTATTCAACGCATTATCAGCTTGTTTTCTGCGGTAATCTTCCACCAATTCTTTACCGGCAGAAATCAAAAGCACGATGAGAAGGGGAGCAATAGTCGTGTATCGATTGGTCGGTGAGAGACCAGGGATTTGTTGCAAGCCGGCTGTGAACAAGAAAAAGACGTTGGCAAACTTCGAAAACTGTTCCAGGAGGAATTTTGGAAGAAAAGTGGCAACATTGTACTTGGCAGTCGAGATGTGATTGTCGACGTACTTGTTCGCGGAATTAGCGGGCGGGTTGTTGAGGTGGATGATGCGAGGGCCGAGAGTAGATGGATCTGGCTTGCTGCGGCCAAAACCAAACTTGAAATTGCCCATATCAAACGCTTTGCTCCTCTGATCTGGTGGCGAGCCGCCAGAAGAAGCACCACGTTCGTGGCCGCCTTCTGTTAGTGGCAAGTCCATCTCCGAATATCCCTGGCCCATGCCGAGTTTATTCTTGACTCGGCCGAAAAACCCGCCTCCCAAGCTCAACACGCTGTTTCGATTTCTGGCATTACTCCTGGCTGCTGTCGACCGGGCGTTGGTGGGGATTGGACCCCCATGTTGGTAGTATGAATCGCCGTCGATGGGATAGTCTTCGAAATCGTCGGCATATCGCTGGTAGTTGCCCAGCTCCGAGGTCTGGCTGTATTGCCTATTCATGTAGGGGGAAGTACTGGCCTGGCCTGAGGGGCCCATACCACGGGCGCCAGAGCGAGTTGCGGACGATGTGGATGCGCCAACGAAGTCGTCGTAGGATACTGAAGGTCTGCTTTGGGGCTCTTCTTGGTCGTGGGAGTAGCGTCGCATCAAGTCGTCGTCGTTCAAGGCCGATCTCTGGCCACCGCCGTATAGCGGCTGGTCATTGTCCAGATCCAGCAGCAGGTCGTCGCGGTTCCCCGAGGATCCGCCATGGCGACCTTCTGTCGGTCTTCCAGCCATGCTGGACGGTGAGCAATGCTCAAGCAGTCGGGCGGGGGTCGGTAGTGTCGCGCATGCGGATGGGGGTATCGTGTCCGAGCACACAGGAGACAGGCGAGGGGATGGTCGTTTCCCACAGGCGGTGATGGGATCGCAGGCCAGATGGGATAGGCAGCTGGAGGAAAGAAAGGGAGTCGATTCGAGGTAATGAAGGATTAGGATTAGGGCGCGGATGCGGATGCGGATGCGGATGAGAGGCCAAAGCCAGCGAGGAAGATTGGAGGTTGGAGGCTGAATGCTTGGAGAAGGAGCAGTAAAACACTATACACTAGTTACTAGTACGTGTAAGGAGTAGAGCCAGGTTCGAGGACAGCAGGATTGAGTATCCATGGTACGGAGCCACGGGTGTGGGTGCTTGACCGGGTCAAGGTACTGATGAATACGTACCACTACTGGGGCTTGGAGGCGCCTGCCCAGCCAACGGTAGCCAACTGGTACTCCGTACAGGGTGCAGACAAGGGAACCGAAGCCACCAGGCTCGTTCTAGCAAAGGCGGTTTGAGCCTTTGAGCACCCAGCTGCCCGCGTGCAGAATGCGTCTGCGCTGCACAGCCACCACCTTGCTGTCGCCATCCGTCTCGAAGAAGAGCACTTGAGATGCTGCGGCCAGTGGCCACGGGTGAAGTTGGGCGCAGACGTGGGTGTATTCGTGTCCCGTGTGCTGCGGAATGGGTCCTAACTAAAGGGGAGCACAGCCAGACCACTTCGTTATCTGTCAACGGGTGGCTTTGTTGTTCACGGTCATGCCAGCGCAGAATCATTGAGTTTAGCGCCGAGACTAAAGGCTTACTGTTCACTCTTACTCTTGACGGTTATGTACCGAGGACTTTGTTTCTGATGTCGAGCTGGTGACTGGTCTGGCGCATGTGCAGCCTTGTCTGCCCAGTTGACATCAGTCCCACAGCCTGCCACCTGTGTCCATGTCTCTCTGGCGGGTGCACCAGTTGTCAAACCCCTATTTGTATTATTCTTAGGTACGGAGTACTGGCCGGCAACTAACTAACTACCTACCTAGGTAGTACTAGCACTTGAAGCCGTCACCCGGCAGCGTGTGGAGACAGCACTTGAGTGAGAGAGAGCATTGGAACGCCGATTGGACCCTTGGATGGCTTGCCAACGGGGCAACTGGTGGGCGAGACCTTATTACCATGGGGAACTGCTCACATGCAAGCTTATTCGCACTCACCACCAGCCAACCCAGCTGCATCCTCACGACCACGTGTGACGACATCTCAACGTCCACCGTGCAGTCATCTTTTTTTCAGCCACAGGCAGCGGCACCAAGTCCAGCATTCAATCAGTTGATAGCCATGCGTATCAAACGGCAGATGCTTTGAGAGCACCTAGACGAGACACCGCCTGCACCGCATAACTGCAGCATTCAAGACAAACTTGGTTGCTTTGCGCTTGTATCCGAAGACAGTTACCTCAAGGCTTGTAAACCAGGAAAGCACCTGTCACCTATCCACGGAACAGAACCCGTCAGCCGACGTGAATTAAAACTTCAAAGTGTGGCAAACGGCGCCTCAAGCACTTCGCAAACCACCAGCCAGAGCCTCGCCCTGAACCATTCCGCGTTTCATCGCCATCAACGCATTGTTCCCTGCCCGGCATCTCCGCCAGGTACCATCATCGTCCGACCAACTATCCGTTTTCTTTGCCGCCATCAGCGCTTTATCCCTGCCAAAGAGCAGAACAGATAAAGGGCTTTCCAACAGCGCCGTCGCCCACCATGGTCTGTACTAAGTGCCAAAAACTGTCCAAAACGACGCTAGCCACTCCCGATGTCAAAAAGAAGAGTGAAATGTACTATGGCTCCCCTGCAGCATCGTCCTCGAAACCATCAGGGTCAAAATCGACTACTCTGGGACAAAGCGGCGTCGTAAAGGTTATTTCATCATTCTACTAATCAATGCTTTGCTTTGTCACGGCGACATGGGGCTGACCGTTTTGATAGAGCAAACTTTTGTCAAAATCTGCCAAAAATCCCTATGCGCAGTACTCAAGGTATGTACCGAGGGATGTATGCATCTCCAGCTGGGTCTTTGTCCGTACCATTGTAGTGCTGACTGGTTGTTTGTAGCTCGTGCACAAAGTGCAAGGCAAAGGTGTCACAGGGCCACAGCTTATGCCAAACATGCGCATATAAGAATGACTGTACGTGCTCAATGTGTTCTTCCTTCTCATCGGCGTGCGTGATGCGGCTAACTTTTTGACAGCCTGTGCTATGTGTGGGAAACCAAATAAGAAAAAGAAGGCTGATGCCGCCCCAACGGTCACGGGCCAGAAGTTCACCTTGAAGTGAGCCTTCTGGAATGATGCCCAAGTCTCCATTTCAGCATCAATTTCACGCCAGACGTCGGCCGGCAACATGGTATACAAGCAAGAGCGAGCGATCAGGAGCTGTATCAGTGGCTTGCAAAGCGTGCCGGACCAGCGCCAGTCATAAAAGATCAAACCGACGGGTATGCCATTTTATACCTTCCAGAGTACCAATTGCCTACAATCGACATGGCACACAAGACTGTATGATATAAAATACGCCATCAATACAAGTTCCCCTAGATCCACTACACTGATACGCGCAATTTCACATTCAAAAACGTTTTTTCACAAACTATTCGGTCGTCATCGCACAACACACCGCCTACAAAGAAGCCTTCACTGTCCCGTCCAAAACCTTGCTCAACCACGCTCCAATTAAGCTGTTCACCTCATCCCCCGTCTCTGTCAGGGCCCAATGTGAAGCCTCGACCTCTCCCCTTGTCAAATGCTTGAACCACCTACCCATACGGGCTGACATTGTGGGCGGCAACGCAGCATCTTCCGTCGCACTAATAAACAAGGCCGGCGTATCAATCTGCTTGAAGTCCTTGGTCAAAGCCAGTTCCTCCTCATAGTTAATCTTCCTCATCCTATACCAATTCAAGGGGCCCCTCATCGGCGGCGCACTCTGCAGCATGTACCGAGCAACATAATGATCCAGCTCCTGCTTGGAAACGAGCGGCGAGGGCCCCAAGCCAGGCAGGTTATCAAAGAGCACCCCCTCGCTCGTAGAGAAGCCCGCCTTTCCGTCCTCCCCCCGGCCGCCAAACATGCAGTTTAGGAACTGCCGCACCTTCTCCTCGCTCTGGATCTCTCTCTCGACATCCGGCCCCGCAAACTGCAGCTGGTATTTCAAGGTGGTCAGTCGGCCGGCGGCAACGTGGTCCTCCAGCGGGACCCAGACGGCATGCGGCGGTGCAAAGGGCGTACACACGCTGAAGACGGCCTTGATGAGCTCCGGGTGCCAGAGGATGGTTCGCCAGACGAGAGCACCGCCCCAGTCATGCCCGCCGAGTATGATTTGGCCGTCTTTGCCGACGAACTTGGTAGCCAGTTCCCTGATGTCTGCCGAGATGCTCTTGTGCGAGAACTGGGCAAGGTCATCTGGTCGCGAAGTCCCCGCGTACCCGAGCATGTTGGGGGCCACGACACGCAGGCCGAGGGACACCAGGTACGGTATCTGGTTGCGCCAGCCGAAATTCATGTCCGGGAAGCCATGGATGAGGAAGACGGTTGCGACGGGGGTCGACGCCGGCTCCCCGAGGATGTAGTTGTACTGCTTGCCACGGACGGAGGCGGTCTCCTCGCGGACCCGTGGGTCGTTGGGGACTAGTTTAGATGCCATGGTGTTGGTTTTGGAGCGCGGTGGGCGTAGTGGGCGTGGCATGGCCGGTGTATATGGGCAGACGGGATTATATAGCCGAGGGCGGTGTCAGTTGGCGGAACCGCACTTCATACAAAAGATGGGCGTGTTGTTCTCGTAAGACCGACGCAAGCTCACGCCCGTACTTGGCTGTTGTCCTTGAGCACGGAGTAAGCTTGCCCATCAAACCACGATTTTACCCCACGGGGCCCCCCTCCCCCGCATCGCAGTATCACGGCTGCTGACAAGAGAAACGGGCCAATTAGTCCCTATTGTTTCTCGTGGAGCTATTGTCCGGTCAAAAATGGAAATGATCCCTCATCAATGCCTGGTATTTCTCAGGGATCGGGGATAGGGTGAATCCCGAACACCGCCTACAGCTCGGGCTGAGGTGGGGACAGCCGAGGTTTGCTGTATTTGGGGGTAGCACCAGCGCCATGGATCCGTTTTAGCTTGATCCGAGTCCAACGTGTCTACAGATGTGGGGATACTCGTAGGGCTTTCAATCTTGGGTGTTTTTTGTTTTCTTTTTTCCCTTTTTTTTTTAAAATTTCTTTTTTTTTTTTTGTCTAGGTTGGGTGTCTGGCGCCGAAGCGCCAAACCGAGATGTGTCCTTGGGAAGGGGGGAACATTGAAGGACGACGAGCTGGACGGCCTCGATAGATAGTAATGTGTGATTTTGCCAAAGGGACGCACACTACTACTTGGTCCTCTGTGCCTGGATATCCGTCAATGAAGACGAGCGTGCAAGCTGTATATGATGGACCTATTAACCCTGATTCTGAATAAACTAGCCATTCCAGACCCATAACACCGCCGTAACACTTTACAGACAAACGCCTAGCCGAAGTGGTCCTCAAGCAATGCCGTATAATACAACTGTGACGTTCAGAAACGTATGCCCTGTTCAAGCTCCCTAATAAATAACTGTGTCCTCGTCAGCCTCCACCACCACATCCCCCGACTCATCGTGTGGATCATGATGATGCACCGACTTGTCTTCATCCTTCTTATCCGGCTCCTGTTCGCGCCGCTCCTCGCCGTGCTTCCCTACACCCGCGGTTTCCAATCTTCCGATCCCATCTTTTCCCTTGTCAGATGATGGTCGTGGCGGCTGATACCGACTCAAGTGGCGCTCCTTTTTCGACTTGAACTCGGCTTCCTCCTTGGCTATAGTGGCCTTTGCAGAGCGAACTTGGTCGTCAATGACGTCTTCCTGGTCTGCCGTTGTTTTCCACGGCAGATAATACTATCTTGAGCGTTAGCTTTCCTCCCCACATATTAGTGCAGGATACACGGTGCCAGACTCACAATAGAAGGCTGCGACTTTGTCTTTAGAAATTCCGCGAGAGCTAGCAACTTGGAGTGCTTGTTCCGCATCTACCACCCATTAGCATTCATCTTCTTCACCCCCCCCCCACCTCCACCCCCCCTCCTCACCCGCCGGGACA